GACTGCAAGATAAGGGGCAGAATGGAGGTAAGAGGAGGGAGCTGAGAAGAGAAGTCTTAGATGGGGACTGGAGCCCCATCTTCAAATATCTAATTGGCTGAAATATGGAAGAGGGATTAGATTTATTATGCTTGGTTCCAGAGGGCAGGCCTAGCACCAAAGGGTGGGAGTTATAGGGAGGCAGATTTCTGCTGAACACTAGGTGTCTAGTCTCGTGATTCTGGTGGGGTAGCTATGGTCAGATTCACAATATTTCTGCCCTTGGCAGTAGAGTTATAAAATGTATCAGTGGCTCATGATTATGCCCTCAGTCAGTCACAGAAACTTCATATCTAACATACAGTCTTTAATAGAATAAAAGAACATGCTTAGAAATGGGTGCCAGAATTCAAAACTGTGGCTAAGGGGCTATGAAACAGTGCATATCCTTTGATCCAGTAATACCACTACTAGATCTGTATTGCAATGAGATTTTTAAAAAAGGGAAAAGGACCCACATGTACAACAATATTTATAGCAGCTGTTTTTGTAGGGACTGAGAATTGGAAATTGAGAGGATGCCCATCAATTGGGTATTGACTGAACGAGTTGTGGTATGATGGTGATGGAATGCTAATGTGCTATGAAAAATGAAGATTAGGATGCTTTCAGAAAAACCTGGAAAGACTCATATGAACTGATGCAGAGTGAAGTGAGCAGAACCAGGAGAACATTGTACACAGTAATAGCAATATTGTATGATGAATAATTGTGAATGACTTAGCTATTCTCAGCATTACAGTGATCCAAGACCATCCCAAAAGGCTCATGATGAAAAATGCTATCCACCTCCAGAGAAAGAACTTATGGAGTCTGAATGCAGATCAAAGCATACTATGTTCACTTTTTGGTTTGAATTTTCTTTCACAAATATGGAAATATGCTTTACATGATTGCACATGTATGACCTACATCAGATTGCTTGCTGAACAAGTATAACTGGAAAACATATATGGAAAGTATATGAGTAAGGGACATATATGAGTAGGGAACAAGTGCAATGACGAAGTGTGATGAGCCAGTGTGAAGAACGCATGTTGCAAGGGCATACTCATGAATGGCACACATGTAATGACATGTATGTCCAAAATGGTTGGATGGCTAGAGCCAACTACACCTTCAGTCTTGCAGAATGATTGAAGGCCCTTGGTATTGTCATTGGACCTCTATCCACTGGGCACTGGGCCATTTCTGATGGGCATAGTATTGTCCTTGCACAGTTCACCTCTCTACTGGGAATCCTGTTTCCTCTGTAGCCTTATGTTTCAACTGTCCAGTGGATCTCCCTTCTCAGTTGGACATTTCCACTGAGATCATGTTTGTGCAACTGCCATCTGCTACCATCTTCTTTTTTCCACCATTAGGTTCCCCGTGAGATTGAAAGCTCTTTGAGGGCAAGGACTGTCTTTTGGCTCTTTTTGTATCTCCAGCATTTAGTACAATGACTGGCAGATAGTAGGGACTTAATAAATATTTATTGATTGAATAATTCTGCTATTCAACATCTTCAGAGCCATCTGAATTTTCTGCCACCACCTACTTGTATGTCATGGCTAGTAAGTCTCTCCCTAGCAAAGGAAAAAAATAGTCAAAGAATCTGAGTCATCACACTGAGGTTGTTGAATAAAAGCCAGCAGAAATGCTAGATTAGGATTCAATTTGGTCTTTTGATCACATTTCTCATGGGACCCGTTAGAAATCCTTGTTCCTAGCCAACTATCTGATTTGGGCTTAGAAAGTTTCTTTTTAACTCCTGTGCAATTCTCCATGATCAGTGTATGTCCCCAAACCCAGTTTGGAGAACCCACCAAAAACCTACACGAGACCTAGGTGAAGGCTAAGGCTGCAAAGTTCTCAGCTTTTATACCATTTCCTTATGGGAATGAAATAAACTTAGGGTCAAGAACAGAAAGGCTAGGTGAAGCTGGCTTTACTCATTTCTTTATTGTAAATATCTGTCAGCACCAAAAGAACTGAATTTTGTGCTAGTTCTTGCGACCTCCAACCTCACTGCCCTCTGTACACTTATACTACTTTCCTCACAAGTTATTGGAGATATTCTTGGTAAACTGTGAAGTTTATTATGAAATGTCAGCTACAATGATTATTTTTTAAATTATTCTGATATTTTAGGTGATGAAGATTCTGTCTTTGGCATTTCCCAATTTTTCTTTGACTGGGAGAAAGTGACATTTCTCATTAGTTACATGCTTATATAATAATGTGGATGGAATTTCAAGATTCCTTGGAAGATATAAGAATGGAGATAACCTGAGCTGACCCTCTCTTCTGATCATTAATATCCAGCGAAGCATCCAAGAGGAGGATGTGAGCTAGCCAAGAGTGTTGTACGCTGTTGGGAAGGAGATCCAACCTAGAAGCCACACTAAGGAGGGACTCCATCTTGATGGTGAGGTCTTCCAGACACACTTGTTTCTGAATGGCTTTATACTGATTCACGAAAGACCTTGAACCTTGCAAAGCCTTTCAAATGAGAGACACAATCATTCCAGAGTTTGGCCTTCTTATTCACACAAGCAAGGTGAATTGCATGAAGAATTGGCCCATTGTCCAGATAATGACATAAAGTGAAATGGACAACCAATAGATCTCTTCCTCAATTGCTTGTATCTTGGACAGATGTTGACCACAGATAGTTAATTAGGCCCGGAATTTACCAGGAGTACAAGAATGGGCTGAATTGCCTTTGACATGTGGCAAACCTCTTTTAATAACCTCAAACTTCTCTCTAAAATAAAGGCCTCTCCTTTTAATGCTAATACTCTTCTGGTACTATTGTGGAGTTGGGAGTCATGGTCCATGGTAGTCTCTGAAGAATTTAAATTGAGCACCAGCTAAAAGGGAATAGAGAAGCCCATCTTGGATATGAGGAGGCGATTAAACACAAGGAAATATCAAGGTGAGTAGTATATAGGATGTCATGAAAGAAATCCAGTTATTCCTAGTGGTTGGGTAATTTTGGTCAGTTTCCTTATTTGTAAAATGAAGGTGTTAGACCAGATGTTTCAGAGGTCTCTTCCAAATCTCTATCTACGATGTAATTGAGAAAGAAGGGTTGTGATATGACCAGAATGAGGTTTAGTTGTAGTTAGGAAGATGTGAGTTTGCATCTGTTGTCAGACACTTAATAGCTATGTGAGCCTGGGCAAGTCTCTTAACCTCTATATGTTCTCATCTATAAACGTGAATTATAATAGCACCTACCTCCCAGTCATGTTGTGAAGATGAAATGAGATATCAGTAAAGTGCTTTGTAAACTTTAAGGCTTTATAGAAACGCTATTTTTTTTTATTCTAACTGATGGATAGTCAGCATTCTCAGTTGATACTTTTGAAATGTCAAGAAAAAGCCAGGAAGGTCCTCAGCAGCTTGGGTGTTCTATAGTGGTGAAGGCAGGAAAGGACATGGGTAAGAGGCACATGGGCTGGGCTGGCATGACTGGGTTATGATTGCTATTAGTGGAATGAATGAATAAATACATGAATGTGTAATTGAATGAATGAAAAGGATTAATTAAGGAATTACTGTGTACTGGATATTTGGTAATGAACTTCAGTTAGCGCACCCTGCTGGACAAGTATGCCAAAAGGCTTGGCTAGAAAAAGTCATTTTCTTAAGGGTTCATGAAGGAGTGTATGAGAATCATCATGGGCCAAAATAGGACCGGAGAGATTTCACAGGCTATTTCACACTTGGGTCACTGTGGGTAGGTCAATTAGTATCTTTTGGGCTCAGTTTTCTATTCTGTAAAATGAAGAGTTTGGATATGAAGACAGTTAGGTAAAGTGGAGAGAGTGCATAGAATCAGAGATCCTGAGTTCAGATGCTGGCTTATTACAGCTGTGACCATAGGCGAGCCACCTTGTGTCTCTGGGCCCCAATTTCCTCCTTTATAAAATGTGGCTGGAATAAAAAAAACTCTCAGGCCCCTTTCCACTCTAAATTCTGAAATTGTATGATCCTCTTCCTTCATTTGCTCACTCATTTAATCATTCATTTGATACTTATTTTATTAGTGTTTATTTTGGGCAGAGTACAAAGTATGTGGTGGTAACTGGGAAATATAGAAAACCTAGGTAAAAGAGGACTGTTGTCCTTGTGGAGCTCAAAATCTAGGGAGAGGACTAAGACACAAACAGATATCTACTGAAAATCTTCCTGAATTTATGAAATGATCAATAGGGAATTGCAAGCGGGTGAACTCCCCTTATCAGCACAGATAGGTGCCTGCTCTGTAACTTGTGGTTTTGGAGAATGCCTAGGGCACTGAGATGAAGGAACTCCTGGAGGGTCCTGCACTGAATATGAGTCAAATGTGAGTGTTGAAACCAAGACCAACTATTTATCTAATATGCCATGCTTCTCACAGATAACTATAGTCGCTATACATATCTGGAATAAGTGCTTTGAGAGAACATAGAAGTAGGGGAAGTCTGAGCATTTAGGGAGTCCTAAATGCCTTTAGTCTGGTTATGATTGGTGCTAGAGGCCAAGACTTTGAAGCATCTAGAAAAACGGGGAAGATGGCCTGAGAGCAGAAAGGGGGTGGGGATGGAATAGGAGAAGATGTGAAGATCAGGATCTGACTGGTTGTTGACCTGTGTGTGTCCCAAATCCACTTGTTCCACCACCTTACCTCTCCCTCCACTCCCCAGAGGAGGGCTAAATGCCCCCGTGGGCAATCTCTCTCTTCTCTCCCTCTCTTTTTTTTTACGCTTCCTGTTATGGGTATATAAGTAGGGTGCTGACCAAGGCGGAAGCACAGAGCTGGGGAAGCAGATCAAAGTAAGGATCCTGCTCTGTTCTCACACCTTGGTTACCCAGCCGAGGCTCAGTTGGATGGAGATGTTGGGCTGGAGGACTTTGCTCCACTCCAGACTCCAGCAACCAGAGCCCTTCTCTGTTGACCTGAGCCCTTTCCCTTTTCTCTCCCACTCCAGATGATTTTCCTGCTCCTTCTGACCCTTCCCCTCCTGGGAAACTCAGTCCCTGTGATTCGAGGTAAGTTATAGCCCCATCCCAGCATTGCCTACACCCTGGAATTCCTGTTTCCAGTGCTCAGCCCTTTGGTGGCCTCATGGGGAGTATCTTCTGGGATCCAGGAGACAATGGTTCAGCTCTTTCCTAGGGATAGGGTAGTTTGCTTAGAGCAGAGATAGCTGCTAGGTGACCGGATCTCTGACTTCTCCCAGAGTGAATGTGAGCTCATTCCAAGTTGAGATAGCTTCATTCCTTGCCCTTGCATTCTGAGCACATGGTACAGTGCCCTGGCACAGAGTGGGTGCTCGATAGAAACTTCTTGAAGGATTGACAGAAAGTTGTAGTGGAGAGTGCTAGACTTTGAGTAAGGAAAGACCTAACTTCAATCTTATTTCTCATTCTAATACTTACCCACTCTGAGCCTCAGTTTCCTCATCTGTATAATGATGATACCTGTAATATCTATCCCCATAGAATTGTTATAAGGATCAGATGAGATCATCAATGGACAGTGCTAATGAGAAGGTCAATTTAAATGATTAATATACTGTAGAAATGTCAGTTATTGTTCCCTTGTTTATCGGGAGATGGGTGATGGCACGTCAGCTGCCAACCAGCTCTTGGCAGAGGACTTGAAGGCCAGGAGTGATCACTGGCAATGTATGAGATCCTGGTATGAGAGCTAGATGGCAGGAGTCACAACATTGATGGATCTTCTTGCACAATCACCCATTTCTCTATCCAGATAAGCAGGAGACTAGGATTGCTGGGGGCGTTGATGCTCAGGAGAGAGAATGGCCATGGCAGATCAGTCTGAGGAAAAATGTTGATGATTTCTGGATACATGTCTGTGGGGGCTCTCTCATCGACCCCAGTTGGGTCCTGACTGCTGCCCACTGTTTTCCTGGGTGAGTCACCTTTCTCCCTCTCAGAGGTGCAGGGGGGGATGAAGCGGGGGTGGGACAGAGAGAGCCTCAGGTCTCAGAGAAAGGGAGCTGGATTGTAGTTCAGACTGTGACACATACTAACTCACTGAATGACCTTGGACAAGTCTCTTCTCTTCTCTGGGCCTCAGTTTTGTAAAATGGGGATACCAATCCCTATCCTGACTTCCTCAGTTGGCTATTGGATGAAAAATCCCTTTTTCATGTGCAAAGTGCCTAACAGATGTATGGTACTGTTACTATGATAAGATGGGAAATCCAGGGGAAAGAGAAGGAGAGTTAGCAGAGGGAGAGCTAGGGAACTTCCCTTTGTTATGGTGGTGGGAGGCTATGGGAGTTCCAAGAAGGTTCAAATGCTCAGTTCCATGGTTGAGAGCTAGAGGGCCAGATAGGTACAATTGGGTTTCAGGATACTTGGAATGGACCATAAGGAATATTATTCTCCCTCTTTTTTCCAGATATGGAAAGGAAACTTCACAATATATGATCCAATTGAGGCAACAGAATCTATATGAAGATGACAACTTGGTGCCCCTGGAAGAGATCATCATTCACCCTAAGTATACTGATTTCAGGTCAAGCTCTGACCTAGCCCTGCTAAAACTCCAGTCCCCTGTCCAGCTGAATGCGAATGTCCAAACCATCATGCTCCCTGAAGCCTCGCAGATCTTCACTCCAGACATGGAATGCTGGGTCTCTGGTTGGGGGGACATTGGATTTGGAGGTGAGCTCTGAGAAGCTGGGAGTGGGTTGGAGGTGTAGGGCTCTGCAATGTCCCAGGATTTGTACAGGGCCAGGATCAAGGCCAAGACTAGGCATTGCAAGGACTGTGGTGAAGACAGCAGAAAAGGTTGTAGAGATGACTTTTCTATGATTTCTTTATTAATGAAAAATATTTTGAGGAGTCCTGGTTCTCTGCTATCCAGAGCACTGATGCTGTGTCCCAGAACCCCCTGTGTCTGGGAGCTCAGTCTGATGGGCACTCAGTCTAAGTTCATTTCTAAAGACTGTAGTGGCAAGAGCACTGGATATGGAATTAGAGGGTTCCAAACTTGGCTGCTTTCTACCTCTGGGTCATTTCCCTCTTTGGACCTCAATTTCCTCCTCTGTCACGTGAAGGGCTTGAACTCGGTGATCTGTGAAATAACTCTCAGCTCTAAATGACTAACTTGTCCTGACAGTCAACTTCTGACTATGCTTCTTTGTTGGCCCTGGTGTCTAAGTATCAGTTTCTCCCAGAGCACAGATGTTGGCCTCCAAGACTATTGTGTACCCTCACCTTGGTTTATAGACCCAGAGTCTCACTGTGCCCAGAACTCTCCTGCC